AGGGAAGGAGGGTGATTCCACGCTGATGGAGCCAGAACATTCTGGGCACTCGTGCTTCGCCCTGGGTGTGGTGTCGTGAAAATCTTGCTGGCAGATCATGATGCGTTCATGTTGTGATTGACGAACAGGGTGTGAGAGACACAGCTTAGGCTGGGTGAGGAATTGAAGGAGAAGCCCCTGCTCCCGAGACTGGATAGGCTGCCATGGATTGAGACACTGGCTTGATCTATGTAACTTCCGATACGCAACTTCCTGGCAGGTCCCCATGGACTCTGGCCTTCACTACCCAGGTCTGCTCCCTTCCCCCATGGCTCTTCCAGCTCCAGACTAGGATTTCGTGTAGACAGGGCTCCTCCTGACCAAGTGTGTAGCCCAGGTGATTCAGCGGCTGCACCCCCTGCTTCTCTCCAAGATGGAGCAGAGAGGATGACTCACACAAGCCCATTAGTCCTCACAGCACATGTTTGTAAATAGTGAAGCCAAAGGAGCCCAGCAGTAGATCCAATTACCAGATATTTCAGTTGTGTGAATCAATTTTTAAATGTATGCTTGTGTATTCCACAGAGGATTGCAGTTAAACTTAAAGCGTCAACCTCAATGATCACTTTACAGGGTGTCACTGAAAAGCCAGGTGCTATTGAGGCATATTCATCCCTCTGCAAACGTTTTATGTAGTAGTTGGGCAATCACCTGCCAATGTGAAGCATCAGGTGAAACACACATACAAGTAAGACAGAATTTCTTACCTCCCAAAATGTGCCAATGAATACAGAGCTGATGGTGCAGCAGGAAGTAAAGGGGTCAGAGCAGGAAGGCTGGGGGTGAGAGGACCAGCCACCCTGAAGGCCACTGTGCAGGTCACAGGGAAGACAGCCTCTGTGGCCAGTGGACCCCCCTGTCAGCCACCCACCAGGGCCTTGTCCCAGCTCTGAAAGAAGACCCTCGAGAGCCCAGAGGCTGCAGACCAAACAGTGGGATAGGTCCTCCTACCCTGTCTTGGTGTCCTCTGGTAGTGAGAGTTGGCCACTCAGCCTTGGGGGACGGACTCCAAGGAGGAGGGGAGCAGAGTTGGCTCATGGCAGGGAGATGCTGGGGTGGGGAGGAGGCAGCGGCAAGAGAGACTGGGGAGGAGGTGGACCCCACAGGGCCAAGAAGATGGAGCTTTGCCACGAAAGCAAAGGTGCTGTGTGGGAATGTATTTATCATCAGACATTTTGAAGTAGTAAGCAGTAGCCTAGGCAAGACAGGACGCAAAACAATGGCCTGGTTCAAGATCATGGCAAAGGGATGGAGGAGAATGGAGCTGACATTAGCAGGACAGTTATTAGCACCTACAAGGACCCTCCAGTGAGCACTGAATGCTCTGTAAAAACGAACTCATTCCACCCTCCAATCAGCCCGCTCTATGTATGAAGAAACCGAAGCATAGGTTGTTTAAGTGACTTTCCAAGGTCTCAAGCTAGTAAGTCGCAAAATCAGATTTGAACCCACGTGGCCTCGCTCCCCAGTCCACGTGCTCACCCAGCATTTGATGCCACAGTTCAGAGCGCAACTCCCAGGACAGCAAGCCTAGCTCCCTTCCCCTCCCTACACGGCAGGATGTCAGTGCCACACTACCCCTGTCTGGAAATGGGAAGTGCTGACACTCTGCCTCTTCCGAGGGCAGAGACTCCATGGAGTGTCAGCCATGCCACTGACTTTACTCCACCAAAGCCAGCTGCCAGCGTCTCCCTGTCCTGCCTTCTGTCACTTCCAGTCTCACTAAGTGAGTGCTTACCCAAGCTCTTCCACATGCTGGTTTATAAGGCAAAACAGAAATAGATCTCATTCCAGCCTTCCCCTCCAAACTCCTCCAAAGGCCTGCAGGCCACTGCAGCCCTTCGGAACACAGGCCTTCAAGGCCACACCTCACACCTGGGTCCTTTCTCGTTCTTTAGGTATTGTGCCAGAGAAATCTCGAATAACAACCTGGGAAGCATATCCCTATGTCGGTTAAGTTCTACCCTAGCTTCTCAAATTCCCTTTTAACCTCAGTGCTGGATTTAAAATTCATTCCAGCTTGCCTGGAGTCACTCACAAAAATAAGGACGTTAAATTCAACTAAGTGAGGATCTTGGAGAAGAATCAGGAAATGGGTTTCCCAGGAGGCCCCACGAAGACTCTTGCTGATATTACCCCCCACGGCATCTCTGTTTAGTTTCTGGAAGTTCATAGTGACACCACAGCTCTTGTCTTTGGGGACTGGTTAAGACATAATTCCACTGGGCACCAAGTCGGCCTTTCAGACTGCCTGGACAGAGACCCATACGTAGCTTTTTCTCAGTTCAGAGGGGTCTGATCTCTGGGCCCCCACATCTCCCTGGCTTGAGACCCTCTGGCTGATTGGTGCTGTGCTCCCAAGCATGTGAACTGCTCTGTCCCCCTGCCCCAAGCCGTCCTGAAGCCAGATGCCCTGAGGAAACAGGACGCTGTAGGGAAGCTGCTCAGCCTGTAGATTCCTGGGCCTGAGGGGTGGGGGAGTAGCTGAGGGAGCTCAGAGGGTGCGTAATAGATTTACCCCACACGGGTGCCTCTGAGGCATGGGCCAAGGTGCTAGATTCTGTTGTTGCTGTTGTGGCTATTGTTTTTTCCCCACTCAAACTCCCTCAGGCGAGTTTCTTGGAGGGCCCAGCAGGGGAATTGCGACCCTGGTCCTGAGGCAGTCTTGGGGATTCGGGAACTTGGCCTGTGAAGAGATGTGCTGGGGCCTCTAGACCCCTGGGTCATCTAACAAGGGGGTCATGTGGGCACTGGTATGGAAAGAGGCTTCTACACAGATGTCTTGAAACGGCTGGCACGTCCTCCATGCTCAGAACCGTCAGCTGCTTCCACCATTCCTTCATTCATTCAGTTGTTCATTTTTCAACAAACTGTTTAAAAATGTGTCCTGTGTGCCAGGTTCTCTGTTAAGCATTTAAAGAGGCAGAAAGGATGTTAGCGATGGCAGTGACATGAAGCTACAAATGCCTTCTGAAGTCTTCCTTGTGGGTTCAGTCAACTTATAAAAACATACACTTGGAATAAAGGCAGGGGGAAAGGGTGCATTTCTGTGAGCATCTTCTTTCACAGGATGGCTGTTTGGCTCTAGAAAGAACATACGGTAAGTTTCACTCCGATAGGCCAAGTCAACTAATAATTCTCACAGAGTATGTATACACCAAGGAGCAAAGGGGTTTGCCAGGAAGTTTACGGGTCCACCTTCTCTGCGAGTGTTTCTTGTGCTGTACTGCCGCGGAGACCCCTGCAAGTTATGGAGGCTCCAGGGTGGAGCAGAGCTGGCCATGCCCATCCATGTCCATTCAGTGGCCTCAGCCAGTGCTCCTGGGGTGCCTACTCCATGCTGGAGCAGCCACAACCGACAGCCACAGGGGAAGCTGCGAGCACGGCCACTCTCCCAGCTGGAAAGGGGAGGGGTGCGTGTGCGGGTGGGTGGAAGGGAATGTTGTGCAGGTGACATGGGAGGTCTGCAGAACACTACCACCCCCCCACCCTCCTGCCAACACCTGGCCCTGCCAAGCTCGTGCCGAGGCCCGAGGGAGCAAGGCTTAGCGAGGGGTGTCCAGTGAACGAGGAGGAGCAGGCCAGCAGCGACCCCATCTGCCAACAGGATGCCAGCAGGGTGCCGGTGACGAGGACCCGGGCAAGGGTCAGGCAGCACTTCCAGGAGTTGACTCTGTGTCGGATACTGTGCTCACTGCTCCTCGCGTTACTTCTCTTTTGCCTTTGCGGCAACCTCCCTGGCTGCCTACACAGTGCTGCTGCCATCAGGCTAGTGGGGAGAGTCAGGCCAACCTCCCCGGCTGTGGTGGGGCGGGGCTGTGGTGTCGCTCCAGTCTGGGCGACAGAGTGAGACTCCAACTCAAAAAAAAGATAAAAAATAAAAAGAGAGTCCAAGAAAGCACAGTGAGAGTGTTGCTTAAAAACATCTAGAGACGTTACCCCACCACAGCCGGGGAGGTTGGCCTGACTCTCCCCACTAGCCTGATGGCAGCAGCACTGTGTGGGCAGCCAGGGAGGTTGTGGGGAAAGTCACCTTCTAAAAGCATATGCAGTATCCATTTGGTTTCAGTCATAATAATTAAAACAACAGAGAGTTAAGCTGGTGAAATCGTCATCAGCAGTGAACCACTTAAGAGAGTCCAAGAAGCCGGGCTCGGTGGCTCAGCCTGTAATCCCATGCCTTTGGGAGGCTGAGGTGAGTGGATTGCCTGAGCCCGCGGGTTCGAGACCCGCCTGGGCAGCACGACCTCATCTCTACAATAAATAAAAAAAAATCAGCCGGGCGAGGTAGCGCATCCCTATAATTCTGGCTATTTGGAAGGCTGAGGCGGAAGGATCGCCGGAGCCCAGCAGGTCGAGGCTGCGGTGGCCGGGAGCGGCCACTGCACTCCAATCTGGGCGAGAGAGTGAGACTCCAACTCAAAAAAAATAAAAAATAAAAAGAGAGTCCAGGAAAGCACAGTGAGAGTGTTGCTTAAAAACATCCAGAGACGCTGCCCCACCACAGCCGGGGAGGTTGGCCTGACTCTCCCCACTAGTTCTGCATGCCGCACGCAGGAAAGGTCAAGCCAGGCAGGTGTGTGGCTGGCAGCTCAGAGCGAGCTCAAGGCCCGGTCTTGGGTGGGAAGCAGAACTCTTGCTCCCCGCTGCCCTCTGCCACACGTGCCTCCACGCTTGTAATGTGAGGAGCTGGGCTGAGGAGCATTGATGACCAGTAGCTAGTTGCATCTTCCTTTATTTGCCTTTCTCTTAAACCAATAGCTAGTTACTGACATTTACCAACTGCAAGTTACTGTGTCAGTCAGGTGAAACTGGAAGACAGACTCAAACACAGTCTCTGATGGAGAAAAGTCCAGAGCCCAGCGTGAATGCCACGCTGAATCCAGGTACAAAGCATCTTCCCGTGACACGGGGAGTCTCATAGGCGATCTTCCCCTCGTGGTGGGGCCCTTGTGTTTCAGGGCATGAACTACCTGGAAGACCGGCGCTTGGTGCACCGCGACCTGGCAGCCAGGAACGTGCTGGTGAAGACTCCCCAGCATGTCAAGATCACAGATTTTGGGCTGGCCAAGCTGCTCGGTGCTGAGGAAAAGGAATACCATGCAGAAGGAGGCAAGGTAAGACGCTGTCTTGTAGACCAGCAAGCATTTTTCTGACACAGGGACCAGACATCCTACCTGTTAAGCTGTATTTTCTAGCTGATGTGGGGGCAGACATTCACCAAACATTCTGGGTGAGGCGGACAGCTGGGTGGGTGGACACCACTGGCACCTGGGTCTAGCCAGGCGATCCCGAGGAGCTTTGGGAACGGGACCTGCTGGAGAGTGAGTGAAGATGGTTTTGATATGTCCAGAGGCCAAAGACAGCAAACGTAAGCTCAGCTCCATCCCCAGGTGATCATTAGCAAAAATCAGGTTCAGCCCTCCTCTCCAGGACATAAGCCCCCTTCTAAGAACATCTGGGAAAGGTCACAGCTACTTGTGGTGGCACACTGCTGTTGGGGACACCTCAGAAATAAGAAAAGCTCCCCAGGTGGTTGGGAGAGCTCCTGGGGGTCTCTGTGTCTCACAGCTGGAACAGGGAGTGATGGCGTCAGCTCCCTTCTCTCTGTCTGGGGGCAGCTTTCACAGCAGTGAGAGGTGCACAAAACCTGTCAGGCCCTCCTGTGTCCTCCTACAGCCACACCCCAGACGCATCAGCTGCAGCCTTCTGAGATTTCACTCTGGCTGGAAGCAGCCACCAACCCCATGGCCCTAGCCCCTGAGAACACACACAGATGCTGGGTGGGTGGGACAGCTGGGCCTGAGCAGGACCTCCAGCTCATCAGAACAGCCCAAAGGGTCCTTGACTGTAGTGCTCATGAGACACTCTGGGGCCTATCGGAGGGACTCTGTCCTCTGCCAGATTTAAAATCCTCCCCTGCTGGGTGGGAGCACTGGGTCTAGGGGATGGGGCAGTGCGGTGACCTGGCTTCCGGTAAGTCACTTGTAATTAAGCCCAGGGTGATTTAATTTGTTTCAACAGAGGGAAGCTAATAGTTGTCTCATTGCTTTATCTCTCATCATCCCAAGGTGCCTATCAAATGGATGGCATTGGAATCCATTTTACACCGAATTTACACCCACCAAAGTGATGTCTGGAGCTATGGTGAGTCAAAATCCTAATGCTAATGAATTTGTACTGAGGCGAAGCTGGCTTTTATTGTTAGTTCATTTGCATTATATGCTCTGACATGCAAGTATTACGTGACTAATGATAATGTAATAGTTGATCTCTGTTATACTGAGAAAACATAACAAAGGGAATTGAGTCTAACTACCATACCAAATGTCACTGGAGATATCAATGAACTAGTTTGGCAGAGAGAGGGGGTTATGAAAGGGAGAGAAAATGCGAACTGGAAATGCCTCCCTGCAGAATCATTCTAAATTGACCCCTTGCCATGCGTTCAAAGTGAAGCAAAGGGATATGGCGAAAGAGGTTTCATGGTAAAGAAGTTAAGCTGACAATGAACTTCTCAGCGGCTGTTGTTTCATGCAGTCCTTGTGTAGCAGAGAGAATGGCGTGACAGATGGGCACCGTGAGGATGTCTGCGGGGGAAAATAAGAAAAAGAAACAGCCCTTGCTCCTCACTGCAGTAGGGACCATATCATCAGGATCCGATTCTCTGTTGCCCCTTCTCAATCCAGCGTCGCCATGCTCAGGCCTATACTCTGTCCTCTAGAGGAGCCCCCTTCTCATGTCCTCGCCTCGTCCTGAGCCTACCGGGGCCTCACCTGTTGATAAAGCGTTGCTGACACATTCCCACTGCCTGCTGTACCAGGCATGTTTACAGCGGGCTACCACACTTGGACCTTGAATGTCACCCAGCAGTCTACTGAAAGGCTGGAAAACACCGAATCTACTGCCTTTATTGAGGAAATCAGTTACCCCAGCCATTCACAGCAATGAGGGAAGAGGGGTAGGGAAGAGGGAATACACTTCCAAAGAACTGTGTGTCAGGGAGAGCGATATGGAAAGGAATTTCCAAGAAGATTTTAGTCATTATCAACAAAGCAGAAGTATTCAGGAACTCATCCATGTAACATATTTTTCCTGAGGTACTATTGATGTTCTAATATTCCAAATACATTTTTTTTTTAATGTTAAAGTTGCGAGATACAATTCAGGATTAGGTATACAAATGTTCGTTATGCAGTTACCCTTGTTGATGAGGTATGCCCCTCCCTCGCCTGGCAGTTTCCCTCAACTGCCAAATACATATTTTTTAGTTTCATAAGTCTTTCTCTCTTCTGTTAGAATGTAAAATTTACAAAGGCACAGAATTGTCTGTGAATCAATGAGTGAACTTTTATGTGTGCCTGTGAGCTGAGCTGCCTCAGTTAATGGAACAGATAAGGAGATAAAGATCTTCTGATGCCTTGCTGTTCTGAGCCATCTTTTTGTTTTGTTTTGTTTTGTTTTTTGAGGTGCAGAGGAATTATTGAGAGGACAGAAGAGCTTCCACAGCGGGTGGGGACCTGAAAGGGTTGCCCCATCTTTTTTATTTTAAAGATGTGGGGTACAATTCAGGATTAGGTATACACGTGGTCATTGTACAGGTAAAGCTTGAACCTCCCTGCGGCCCCACTTCACCTGGTTTGTGATCAGGTGCCCTTAACTGATGTTGTGTGTTCCCCCACCCTTCCCTGGCAGTTTCCTGCTACTGCCAATTCTTTTATTATAGTATTATGGTAAATATTCAGGGTTTGCTTATGAGTGAGAACATGTAGTACTCTGTTCTTTGTTTCTTTGATAGATCACTGAGGATGATAGACTCTAAATCCATCCAAATTGCTGAGAAGTCCATACTTTTGTCCTTCTATATGGCTGCATAATATTCCATTCCATTGTGCATATGTATCACATTTTTCTTATCCAGTCCAGTTTTGATGAGCAGCATGGTTGGTTCCATGTTTTTGCTATTGTGAATAGTGCTGCAGTAAACATGTGAGTGCAGGTATCTTTTTTGTAGAGTGATTTAAGTTCCTCTGGGTATATTCCCAGAAGGGGGATGGCTGAGTCATATGGAAGGTCAATTTTTAGTTCTTTTAGGAATCGCCATGTTGTTTTCCATAGAGGTTGAACTAGTTTGCATTCCCACCAACAGTGTAGAAGCACTCCCTTTTCTCTGCATCCTCACTAGCATCTGTTAGTTTCTGTTTTATTAAAGATGACCATTCTTACTGGAGTTAGGTGGTATCCCAATGTGGTTTTAATTTGCATTTCTCTGATGATTAGTGAAGCCAAGCGTTTTTTCATGTGTCTGTTGACTGTTCGTATGTCTTATTTTGAGAAGTGTCTTTTCATGTCTTTTGCCCACTTTTTAATGGGGCTGTTTGTTTTTTTCCTTTCGGCGTGTTTGAATTCCTTGTAGATCCTGGATGTCAGGCCTTTGTCAGATACGCAGTTGGCAAATACTTTTTCCCATTCTGTGGGCTGTCTCCCATTCTCTTGATGGTTTCTTCTGATTTGCAGAAACTTTTCAGTTTGGTGAGGTCCCACTTATCTATCTTATTCTTACGGCGTGGGCTTTTGGGGTTTGGAGCAGGAATTGGTTGCGTACTCTGAGCCATCTTTAAGAGATGTCTCCACCCTCCAGGAGAGAACCCTGGGTCCTGCCCCTAGCTGTCTCCCTCATCCTGAGCCCACAGAGCCAGCATCTCCCTCCCCAGAGGCACAGCAGAGTGCTGCTGTCCTTCCCTCTTCTCACTTCTTCTCATCTACTCTCCAGAGAGTGGCAGAATGTCTTTTTAAACTATAGCAGACTTTCCTTGTCTGATTCTCATCCTTCTCTGGTTCTCTAAGTACAGCCTGAATTCCTGGCCAGGGCTGATGTGAGCTTGGGTGGCCCCTATGCCTGCCCTGCGTCACCCGGCCCTCTTCCCCTCCCGCTGTCAGTGTGGCCAGGGTGCTGGCAGAGTCCACTCCCGGGCCACAGTTGTCAAATGCATGAAAACCTTCCAAACTTAGTGGCCTGATGCCTTTGAAGATCTTAAGCAACATCAGGAAGTAGTATCCCTGTAGTGGCCGTCTGTTTTCAATGTCATTGGTGTCGTGTTGTCACAACGGATCATAATCTGCTGGCCCTGGCAGCACACCGGAATTTTAAAATTATGTCCTGTTTGCTCCACTCTCTAGTCTCCATTCCAGGCAAAACACTCATTTTAATAAATTAGGCCCTAGTATGTTCCACCAAGGAGTTGAAAAGGAAGGAGTCACACTGCCCGCCATTCTACTCTGAACCCATCACGGACTACACAAGCTCCCCTCCCTCTTGCCATTTCTTCTGAAACCCCAAAAACCTGACTTCTCATAAGAATTCATGGTGCATTTTTTAAATCCTATTTAAATAGGAGTTAATTGACTTCATAGATATGGATCGGAGACATTCCTTCTTTTGAGTTCATGTTGACTGTCCGGTGGCGGGGCCAGAGACATAAGTGTGTTCTTGCCCCTGGCCGTTGCTTTCCTTCCATTGTCAGCCATGCGTTCTATATGTCCATTCAGGGGATTCGTCTTTGGAATGGCCTCTGGCAAATCCAAGCAGATCAGTGGTAATACATATCTAGAGGTCAGGTCTGAAGAACATGGGTCATTGGACCAGCCAGGAGATCCGAAAGCCCGTGGTTCCTGTATCCGTGACCTGCACCGTGTAGTCTGGGACCAGAGCTCAGTCCCACCATTGCTGTCTGTAGCGATACCACAGGGCACCTTTGCTGTCCAGTGAGGACAGCAGGAGCAGAGAAAGGAACAAGTTCCATAAAGCATTTGTATGTTTCTAGGGCAGAGAGTCTCATCAAAGTAGGCACAGGGATAGGAGGAACATCAGAGCTTGGGGGCTGAATCTGAAAAAAACACTGATTCTAAATTTACCACTGATTTCATTTGCTTTGCTTTTTAATATGATAGTTTATTGATTCTGAAATTAAAAAATATGAGGTTTTTAAGTCTACCAAAGGGAACATATAAAAGCTTTTTCATTTACAATTTTTTTCTTATTTAGTAACACACAGCTTACAACCTTGTGCAGAATCTCCGTCTTTCCACTTCTGTAGCTACAAGTCACTCAAGGTAGATGTATGAGTGTGTAACTTCTTCCCTATAGCATAATGATACTTACGTTATTGGAGTTGTTGTGGCCTTTATTATTACTAAAGTTTGCCATTTATTGATCACTTACTATTTGCCAGGCACTGTGCTGAACCTTTCAGTTGTATTATCTTGTTTGAACCTCACAGTCATCTTATGAGACAGATCTTGTTATTATCTCACTTTATAAGGAGATAAAATGAGGCTTCCAGTGGTCAAGCAAATGCCCAAGGCTACAGAAACATAGACTTTTAGACATTGAGAAGCAGTCACCAACAATGATGGCTAAAGACAAGGGGTTGTGATTATCGACTTACAAGGCAACTACTTTCTTTCCTTGCTCCATCCTCTCAGGAGTCACCGTTTGGGAGCTGATGACCTTTGGGTCCAAGCCATATGATGGAATCCCTGCCAGCGAGATCTCCTCCATCCTGGAGAAAGGAGAGCGCCTCCCCCAGCCGCCCATATGCACCATTGATGTCTACATGATCATGGTCAAGTGTGAGTGACTGGTGGGGCCGTATATACTGCCCAGTTGGGCCTTGGTGCTCAGGAAGCCTTGTTGTGCTATTCGTAGCCAAACAGTTGAGGCCTTCACTATGTCATCACATTCCTTAAGGCAGGCACACCAGTCTAGAAACACCTGTGAAGACCTGTCCCAAGCATTCTTCTAGAAGCACTTGCTTGACGCATTGAGCAATGTGACCTGACATTTGCCCATGTCTGCAAGCAAATAAATAAAAGCGAAGTCTTTCGTAAGCCGTTACACCAAAATGTTCTATTCTCTGAGTTGCTTAATGAAAAGTCAAGCTGCTTCACATTTTGAAGCCTGTTGCCAAAGAGACAGAATGTTTTTATTAAATGCCTGACGATGAGTAACCACATGAGGCTGACAGAATCAACGTTTCCGCTTTGACTTAAGCCTTTCAAACAGTGGATTTATGTGAGGCTTCTGCAGTGTGGCATTTACACATTGTGGTCCAAATGAGAGTGTGTGATTTGATGATAAGCGCGGTTATTCCCCTGGGATCACAAGGACAGTAGGCTCTGAAGGGGACTTTGCTTGTGGGATGCGCATTTGCTCAAGAAGGTAACACAGGAAATAGGACAGGGCCAAGTCATTAAAAATATGTAATGCCTTTCTGAACTTCAGACTGCAGAGTTAATCTATTTTATTTTATTTTTATTTTTTTGAGTTGGAGTCTCACTCTGTCGCCCAGACTGGGGTGCAGTGGTCGCTCCCGGCCACCGCTGCCTCGACCTGCTGGGCTCCGGTGATCCTTCCGCCTCAGCCTTCCAAGTAGCCGGAATTACAGGCATGCGCACCACACCCGGCTGATTTTTTGATTTATTGTAGAGATGAGGTCTCGCTGCCCAGGCGGGTCTCGAACCCGCGGGCTCAGGCAATCCACTCACCTCAGTCTCCCAAAGGCGCGGGATTACAGGCTGAGCCACCAAGCCCGGCCCCAGGATAACTTTCTAAAGGCTGAGTTGATACACATTTTTTTTTTTTTTGAGTTGGAGTCTCACTCTGTCGCCCAGACTGGAGTGCAGTGGCCGCTTCCGGCCACCGCAGCCTCAACCTGCTGGTCTCCGGCGATCCTTCCGCCTCAGCCTTCCAAGTAGCCAGAATTACAGGCATGCACTACCA